TGGCACTGTAGAATACCGTGACCGACTGACGTTCGAAGAACTATATACAACCCAGGAGTTGAATAAGGTTCAGAACCTTCGACAAGTAGGCTGGAGTTTTACAGATGAAGGGCCATGTAAGTATCTATATTCCAGAGTGTTGATCTTGTCTAACAAGAGTTGTAGGCCAGCAAGTTGCATTCTCCCCTACTTATTGTTCCATGGTGCAAATGGGCGAAGATGGAAAGATCAAGTGGAACAAACTGCATTACCCTATGGGTGATATTGGAAATTCTATGCACGATGGTATGTTAATGATGAGAGGATTGGCGAGTTACTAACCAAGTGCAGCTCAATATTGTGGCAGCATTGCGGCCTTAACCGTGACCGCAGCACCGTCAATGTTCTACCAGAACAACTATGATGATCTACTTGCCATTATACGACCGTATACTACCAAGAAGAGTACGTCCATCTTTTTATATCTCCCGCATGTCTGCTCACAAAAAATAGGATTCGTCCAGGATTTGGTGACCGAACTTATCAGAATTCTGAAGATCCAGATCGATTACTCTGAAGAGATCCATCATGATTCACTTGTCAGGAATGGATCTCTGCAGTATTGCCTCAGTATAATGAACGCACTCGGATTCCGTGGAGACTTTCATCCTCGATCTTTCCAGGGCAAGTTCTCGATGCTATTTCTGAATGTGCGGAACGTAGTAGTCCTCATCACAATTGCCAGTAATACACCAGTCACTGTTAGGGAAAAGCTGAGCCCCCTTGATGATCCTGGTAAGTTATCCTGCATACTCCTTTGGTTTGTTTATAGCTACTCACATCAATACAGAAGTCATTGAGACACTTGTCGGTTGTGCACGATGGGCGCTGGATCTGATCGCTTGGCTCATGGATTGTCTCTTCGAGCTTATGAACGATAATCATTTCCAAGAGCTCTTGACTCGTGAACGTTTTCATGAGCTTGCTCCTTATCTTCACGAGAAGAACAATGTCGCTTTTCATTTCTTGATGAGCTCCTCTAGTCGAGGATTTCTTTCGGCCATTTGCCGCAGACTGGCACACCTTGAGGCCCTAAGCGGCAGGGCTATCGAGTTCTATCGAAAGCAATCGGCTGTCGTCGAAGGTGCAGCTAGCGGTCGAGCAGCCCCTCAACTACAACAAGCATACCAGGCAATGCAACAGGTTACATCTTCAGCTCTCGTCAAAGTGTCTGAGGTTGAGACTCTTCTCACAGGTCTGAGTAATGAGATCCGACAAGCCTATCAAATCTTCCTTCCATCCCTCGCCAAAAGCCAAAATAATCAGTCTCAGGGGAAGCAGCTGGATATGACGATGAAGGCGGCCCGCGTTCAGATGGAGCTCTCCATCCTTCTCTCAGCTGCGCCCCCTGCACCGTTCCTCCAGATCATCAAGAAGTTCTTCAACGCAGACTTGCCAGCGTTTCGGAACACTATAGATCCAGGCCGGTTGTTCTTTGCAAATTACGATCTTCTCGAAGTCCAGGATGACGAACATAGCTTGGCAGCGAAGAAGGCACGGGGCATGGTGTATGTGGATGTGTTCAAACGCATGCAGATCAGACCCTCCCCCAACAAGCAGTGGAGACGGTGCTCGAGGTGTACTGCGGTCATGGAGGATGTGTTTGGGAGTCGCTCTGGGTTTACATTTGTTCTGGGTCAACAACGTAAGTGCTCTTGTGGAGGGCAATGGACATTGCTTCCCAAGGGACACGTCGCGTGAGATTTTGAAGTTTGAGAGGCGTATATTTGGGTGATTGGTATTAACTGCATAGGATTAGAGTGGCATAATAGGTTAGTAGTAGTATACAACAAGTAACGACAAGATCGTGTTTTCTCGATGCTCTTGAGGTTTATCATCTTTGATGTAAGAGTCTACTTGTTTATCCCATATATTCTCAGTATAACTAGTTAGTAGAAGATTTACAGGTGCCATAATAGCCTGTCTCAGCATGGAGATTCTCCCGCCTCCCGGGTTATTGGTACTGTCACTGGTCACATATCGGGGTGGGTTCAGCACTGGCTAGACTGGATCGAAGGTCTCGGCGAATTTGGAACCGTTTATCTTGATTATGGTGTCTCACTAATGGGGGCAACATGCTTCATCATCAAGCCATGAGAATCTACTAGAGGCATGCAACTCAAGTCTAGACTTAATCTTTGGACAATACCGAAGAGAAGCCAATTATTAAGCTGAAACTGCATCAGGCTTTGTTGGTGGTTCACTACAAAAGTTCAAACTCTCACCAAGGCTTTGCGATTGAGCAATACTCATACCCTATACTCATCGCTTCGACACCAAGCTCAGAGAGAGGCAGCCTATCCCCATACCATAGGGGAGATTGCGATGCGCTAGAATTTAACGTCGTCGAAACAGCAACGATAGCGTCGTTGCGATTTCAACGCTCCAGGTCGCATGGAAGGAGTGTGAGACTGTAACTAGCAGATCGATCAACATTAGACCACGAGCCGCTCAAAGCGCCACCTAATTTCGAGTCAGTGGGGGGAGAATGATCATGAGGGTTTTTGATAGAAAAAGCAAGGTCGGTAGTTGCATTTGCTGTCGATTTTGGCAGCCTTCCGATGTATCCTTGTGTGGTGTAAGGATCGGCAGTTTGCCGTGGTATTTGCTGGATGCGAGCGTTTGGCGCCAGGAAACTCTCCGTTTATAATGGTAATATGAAGCTACAACGTACAACTACAACTACAACTACAACTACATGATAATGTGCGTATTAGCCTGTGGCTGGAGAGGTTTGTGCTGCTGCACGACAGACTTCTTAGCCTTGGATAGCATGAGATGGAGTGGTCCATGCAACAGCCAACAGATGGACTTACCATGACTCAAGAAACCTCTAACTTGAATACTGCAGAGTGTCCAGACGAGAACATGATACGAAACTATTCCGTGGCTTGCTTATACTGTAAGTTCAACATCGTTCGATTCTATTCTCCGGTTTGACTGCCGAATCCTGGCTTGTCATGACAATAGAGTTCCAGTCGGCAATAGACAAGAACACAGTAAAAAGACCCTGAAAAAGAAGATGTCATTTCTGCTACAATACGAGAATACAGCAGGGAAACACCCTGTGGTGAGTTCGTTCAAATATCTACAAGTGCCTTTACTATACAAGTTATCGACGGATCAGGCACCAAATAAGAGTCAAATGCCTCGATGAACCACCGAGAATTAGTTCGCGTCGACAATCTTCACCGCTTGTTTTCTGCACTGCACCGGGGTAACGTATAATTTTCGTAAAATAAAATAAATGCCAACGGAGGATATCGAAGCTCGACGTTGGTTCGTGGATGTTTGCCATGGGCTAAACGCCTTCTCTTATTTTTGTCTAACAGCTTATTAGACTCCCTGTCGAGCACGTGAAGCGCTAGACAAGGGGTAACCCACGACCCCTGGGCTATGAGGCGGTAGAGCTGAAGCAGTAACTGGGAATCATCAAGGTTGTCTTGATATTACACAAGCGAATTGATCAACAACTACAGCAACGAGTGCGCCTGCAAGTTTAAGTGCTTCCATCCATAGAAGAAGAAAAGAAAGAGAAAAGGAGTTTCACCCGCTGACGAGCGGCTACTTGCATATGCATAGAATCATGGAATGTTTTGATAGCCGCCTCCACGATATAACGGTAACATAATTACGCGCTGTCGTGGAACAATGCTTTTTTTGAAAGAACGCGGCCGAGGACAGATGATCCCTGAACTTCTATGTTTATTAACCCTGTTTTTAGTCTTGTCCATGCCTCGTCCAACCGCTACCTGAGGCATTGACCACAGATTGGCCGATGATAGATCGCTCTCGTTCCGTTTACTTTATGTATAGTTGATGGACAAACAGATGAGATGATATTCATAAGACGGATAATAGGGGACCCTGAGCTGTTTCTCCTTCTACGCGCAGGAAAAAAACATATTCAGTGGAAGCTGTGCCACTCCAAGACAAAGGATTGTCCATTTAAAGCGATCGACAGTTAATATCTGGAAGGTAACATCGTAACCATCCACTCAAAGAGTTTGGATGGTCCGAATTGGTCTGAACATGCCGCTCTTTGCGCGGCGCAATCAATCGAATCTGGCTCACCACCTTAATACCCCTGAACGTTGTGGTCATGGTAGCGCCTAGGTTATGGCGCTAGCGCAGGTACTCTACCATCTCTGTCACCACCTTCACCACAAATAACCCCTGGTCGTTTAATTGCAATTGGTTGATTAGCCCGCTCATGTTCTTCAGGCACAGATTGTTTCTTTGCGAAAACAGTCTTTGACTGGTCACTCCTTTATTAATTGCGATCCAATGCGATGAAAGACGTCAAAGGACCTAGACCAGCTCTGCTTCCAAGCCTCATCATTCCTCTTGTCCCTCTTCCGAGATCCAATTAGCCCCTCACATAAGAAATCAGCAAACCAACCAGTTCGAGAGCTTTTGGCCAAACATAAAGCCTTGTGGGGAGTTCACGCTTGCGGATCAGGGGTTGGATCCCTTTTGGCTGGTGAGAGGCCAAGCTAACAGAGCTGTAATTATCGGACCCCTGACCTTAGCTTAGACTATCGTGCATGGTCCCCAGCCATCGTCGCAATTCTCCTCTCTTTAGTTGCTGGGCTTGTTTTCCATCCATTCTCGCTCCCTTCGCTTCATCCCAGGGGCCAAATTTCACTTCTTTCCTCCCTCACACGTTGGTGATTGAGGCCTTATTCCGGTGATAAGACATTAGTATTGCTACTACTACTGTACTATACTACCTGAACCTCACTACCTATCGCTTGCTGGTGGCCCCTGGGTCAGCCGTCGATACGTCGTCGCCTCACTCGTCACACACCCCACTCCCTTCTTCTCTTTCACACCTCCCATCACGCACACACACCAGCTTCACTCTCTTACCGCCGCGGCTCTACTACCCAAGACCTCACGAACCGTATAGTACGGTACCTTTGGGTGGCTCGTAGCGAGGACCGGTATATCTTCCAAATATGGAACCCGCCCTGGCCTCCGCTCCGGGGTCTGGAGTAACGGAGCCTTCTGCGACATCTGATACTCGTTCTGATACCAAGACACCTCCTGTCGACGTCCCATCTGCAACATCTGCTACAACTTCCTTTGTCCCTGCCGATAACTCTATTCCATTATCCTCACCATCAGCCCACCCGCTTCAAATCGAAAAAGAGTCGCATCCACCTTCTCCGAAATCCTCTCCCGCACACGCTCGATCTCAGACGGTAGACGTCCTACCCGGCTCGTCCTCCGTCTCCGGCTCTATTGCGTCGCCTTCCGGTTCCGTTCAGTCTCCCATCAGAGGTCCAATTAAGCGCAAACCTCTGTCATCATCAGCATCAGCATTGGCATTGCGATACTCTGCGTCGGGATCTCCCTTGCCGTCACCTCTGGACCTTGGAAAGCCGAGCCAGAGATTCGCGAGACCTTGTTCAGTCGACAGTCCGACCCTCTACGAATTCTCTCCTGCGCAACGCGCCGCACCACCAGCTGCCCCGTGAGTCCTCTTGTCAACTTGATTCTTTGTCCCTTTGTGTCCATGTCTTACACGGCCAACCGGACTTCCCCTCACTTCCCTTGCAGAATCTGTGGCTAACTGGAATTCCTCTGGTAGAGCTCCCGACGCCAACCTGGCGTCCCTTGCCGCGACAACCCCTGGATCACAAAACATTCCAGGACACAGCCCTACCATCTCAAGTTCAGACTTCTCTGACGTCCTGGATGGGTATGATGATTTGATATCAGACTCAAAATTAGATTCTGCACCAGACATTACCTCCGAGACCATCCTTGATGGGAGCGATAGCGACGACGACAAGGTCCAGAAGATTCATTCAAGCGACAAAGAAACCGCCATTGTTCCTAAAACTGCCGAGCCAACCGATCGCTCTGAAACAGAGGTTCAAGGAACCCGATCACCTGCATCTGACGATACTATATCAGAACAGACTCTCGCTTCCGCCCCCATGTTTGTTCCAAAGCCAACACCACCACATCTCAAACTCGACAAGGTCACAATTGACGTTGCGAACTACGACACATCACCGGATGAACCACATTCCCCCTCAGGTCAAGGAACACCACAGCTCAACAAACCATTACCCAAGTCGCCGAGCCAGAATTCACCATTCGCTTCTCTTTTCCACTGGGCAGCACCATCACCATCTCCCTCTGCGACGGAATTTTCGTCCACATCATCGCCAATCTCCCCTTCGAAACGCGGCGCGGCCAATGATACCCCCTATTCTACGGTTAGCAACCCTTATTATATTCGCGAAGATTCCTCAAGCGTGACGGATATCTCGAGCTCTCGTAACTCATACTCATCGGTTTCACAGTCCCCTACTTACGCGCAAATCGACGAAATGGAAGATGAATTAAAGGCCATCAGCGCCGAGCTGGCAAGCTCAATCCGGCGCGAGATGGATCTGGAAGACCTGGTAGATCGACTCCAGGAACAAGTCAACAACCCTCAAGCTCCCGGTAAGAGGTCAAGCGATTATTACTCCGACTCGGGTTATAGTTCGGCAAAGATGAGTGAAGCCGAACCGAGTCGAGAGGAACTTGAGAAGATTCAAAGGAGGGCCGAACAAGAGAAGGCCTCGATAAGATTAGAGCTCACAAATAAGCTTCAGGATGAAAGGGGCAAACGAAAAGCGCTCGACCACCAGATCAAAGAGCTTGCCGAAAAAGCATCGCAAATCGACCTGGCGCAATTGAATAATCAGGATGCCAGTGGTCGACTTAAGGATCTCGAGACTACATGCGGCGATCTCAGGAGGCGACTGTCTGAGGAGCGTGTTGTTAAGAACAACTTTGAGGACCTCATCAATGCCATCAGGGGAGAGCTTCACGAGGCTACCAGTGAGCGAGATAACCTTCGCGACGAAGTTGTTCCCCAACTGAGGGCTCGTGTCGAGGGCCTCGAGATAGAGGCTGCTGAATACTCGAACTTGACCTACGAGTCCTCCAAAATGCAGCAAGAGCTCCATATGCTCAGGAAAGAATACGACAACTTACGAGGCTCATCAAGATCTGGTTCCCCAACGCCTTCAATGAACCGCATGTCTCGTGCCATGTCTGGCGGTTTTGGTGGCGGCCTTGCCCGATCAAACTCGGTTGCGACTGGCTCGTTCCGTGGCCAACGACCCTCGGGTCTATCAAGGTCTAACAGTGTTAAGAACCTACAGAACGAGTCCAGAGAGTCCCTTTCTGAGCGACTAAAGGATGTCGAGGCCCAGAGAGATGCCCTCCACAAGGCACTGAAAAACCTCCTTGATCGACAAGAGTTTCAGAACCGCGAAAACGAAAAGAAGATCAGAATGCTACAGAACGAACGAGAGAGGCTCCTCTCAGCATCTCCACGGAAGGCCGGGTTTGAAAGAGAAATTTCAAACCTGCGCACAGAGATCAACGTTCTTCGTCGCCGAGCTGAAGATGCGCTTGAGCAGAAGTGGCAGGTCGAAAGCGGTCTGGGCGGACTGAAGATGGATTTGGATAAGGCTGAAGAGGAAATTTCTTTGCTTCGCAACCTCCTCAAGGAGAAGGACATCCTTATTCCCGAATCATTCGCCCGCTCAAGTGGCTCCAGCAACGCAAGCAGCTCGTTTGGTAACCTGAGTACGCCGGTTACATCTGAGTCGCTTGCCAAGGCCTACAATGAGCTCAAGGCTGCTTATGCTGAGTCACTCGAGCGGATCAAGCAGCTCGAGCATGAGACCGTTGGCGATGAGAAGACTCAGCTCGCTGTTCAGCGACTAGAGCGCACTCTGTCCATTGCAGTCTCTGAACGCGATGCCGCTCAACACGAGGTTGAGAATCTCAAAAATCAGTATGATACCATGAGCGAATACGAGGTCAAGACTATGGAAAGTGAGCGCGCTCTTGCCGACGAGCTTAACGACTCTGCTCGTCGAGTTGGAGAGCTTGCAACCCAGGTTCAACAACAACTGGCGGCAAATGCTCAGCTTCGAGAGCGTCTCTCTAACGCTGTCGTGCGAGGCGACAACGATCGCAAGGCTAACTCGGATCGAATCGCTGACCTACAAGTCCGGCTCAAGTCTATGGAAGAGCAACTCATCGCTGCCCAGTCAGCATCTGAAGATCGTGTCAACCGTCACGAGGAGGAGATTGCTGCTATTCGCGAGGCGCATAATGCCCAGCTCCAGCGCATGAGCAACAACACCGGACTCAGCGGCCCCCGATCTCCTAACTTTCAGGCCAACCGCAAGCCTTCACTCCTCAGCCCCCTATCGCCACGATTCCCTGGCGCTCTACGCTCCCCTCGCCTGCCCGAGAAGTCTTTTGAGGATGCCGCCCAGATGGAGGTGCTCCGCAACCGCATTGCTGAGTTGGAGAAGGCACTCGAGGACGCTGAGCAAGAGATGCAGGACGTCGTGGCCAGGATGAGCACCGCCCAGATTGAGGTGCTCAACCTGCAAGATGAGCGAGAGGCCGCTGTCCGCGAGACACGACGCCTACAGAAGCTTCTGGAGCAAGAGCAAATGAAATCATTTGAGGATAGATTTAAGACGCTTAGTGGCAGCGTTTGAAAGAGAAGGAATGTGAATAAATAAGACCACATGGATTGGAGTATCATGATGGGAGCACCTTTCACGGTTGGTGCCCATGTTGCATTTAGCGAGACGGAGTTATCTGATTTTACCATCATCATTATTTGGTAATGATTCTCAGCGACCAGTAAACAAAGACTCGGGCACGCATTCTACACGGACTTTAAAGAGTCTTGGAGTACTCTATTGGGTACCTATCATCGCGCTCACATACGCGTGCATTGGAAAAGGAGCGCTTGGGAAACATTTGTGTTGACTAGTTGATACTTGTTTTGCATCGAACACAGACCGCAAAAGGACGTGTTTATTGTGTGTATAATGTTTTGTATTCTCGTTTGACTATGGGTTTGTCGGGGTGTTTGCAACCTGTTGGTTTGTAGGATATTGGAATGGATAACCAACCGGTCAAGTCAACCGTTGTATATCAATCGAGTTTAATTATAATGCATATTCAAGTACATCAAATCTGTGACGAGTGTTTGCCTTGTGTCTGTGCACGCTGTTTGATAATTTGTATAATCTTAGTGTAGAAAGCTTCACGTTCTCAAGTTCTGGTGTTTGCTCCTCTACATAAGGTACCTAGTTGGTTCAAAGGCAGGGGCGATTTCTGTTAAAACTATCTCGAAACACGATTGGAAGTCGCTCTATGCCATCGTGGTCGCGATTGCTGTTGAGGCCATTTACAACCCGATTTGGAAGTTGCCATACACTTTGCTAACTTGTTCATTACTCTCGCATTTTACAACATGTAACGATTTCAAGACTTATTTCTTTCAACTTGTCACATTGTGTGTACCATAATAATTCAAGCCAAAGCATTTCTACTATCCTTTAACCCCCAAGCTTGATTGAACGCAATGCTCTCGTTCAAGCATCACGCCCTCTACTGGGTCTTTTCACTCTTGACAATTCCTCTTACCAGCATCCGGAAGCTTCTCTCCAGCCATGGAATTTCTACGAGCTATATTAACGAGGTCGAATTTGCGACTATTTGCCTCTCAATGTATTTTGTTGCACGCCCCTATTCAAACGGACTTCAAGACTATTGTCGAGGAGTAGAAGAAGGCGTGGCCAAGTTCAGTGGGAACATCGAGGCGGCCGATCTCGAAAAGCCCGTAGAGGAGAACGGCATCACGAAGGAAGTTGAATCCAGAAACGGCAATGCGAAAGGGAAAAAAACCAACAAGGGCCGGAAGAAGCCCGCCCAAGGTGCCAATGGCAAGCCTCGAGCAGTTCATTTTGAAAAGGAGTCGACCCAAAATGGGAATGCGAAACTGTCCAACGGGAATAGAACTCTTCAGAACATAGCGGTGGCACAACGACTCCGGAAGAAATCGACTGGTCGATACACTACCACCCAGCAGTCCTTCTTCAACTTTGCCTGGAAGTACCTTGATGCTCTGTACTATATGTCTCTGGGGATTCTGTTCACTCGTACAGAGCCTCTACCTGGATTTGGTGAGACTGTTGGAAACGACCACCTCCAGTCAGTTGGTCGAGTACTCGTGAGCTTTCTAGTCATAGGCACTCTGGAACCAATCAGACATAATGTGAGTAGTTGCTATTCCGTTCAAGCTCGTTAGTTTGCTTATGAGTTATTTTTAGCGCTGGGACATCGAAGTGTCTGGCATGGGGATGTTCTCCTACTGTTGTATATTATGCAACGAAGGGCCAGGGCCTTGGGCATCGACATTAATGGGATTCTGTAGCTTGGTGGTCATGGGAATCCTTGTAGAGTGTTCCCTTTATATAAAGCTGCAGTATTGGCCTTGGTGGCCTGGTGTCTGGTTCGCCGATAGCCTCAGTGGCCCCGATATTCTCATTCGTGTTTGGTTACTGGTGCCACTCATTGATATTGCTGAGACTGTAGGTTTTTGAGACGTGCTGAGAAACATAAACTAATGCGAAATCAGGTCCTGTACGCCATTTCTTCCAAAATCTGCGCAGAATGGTATAAGAAGAGACTTGAGCTTATGCAGAAACCCCTTTAGTACACGCGGGTTTGCCATAGGATTTTTGTCATGGTAGTCGCCTGGCTTCTTTTTAGTGTAATTGAGACGGCTTTCTGGCAGTCACTGTTTTTGAAGCAAAACAATGAAGAAGCATTCATTGGCACGGCGACACCTATCGAGTCGATGTAGATAGGGGATGGCCTTACTTGCGAGGATGCTAAGGGTTTCTTCTAGGAAACTGCGACATGTCCTAACGATGACTGGACCAGCGAGTGGAAACGTTGAAAGCGTTCATGACGACTAGGAATCAAGAAGCGTGTCTCATTACAAAGACCTAATCTCTATACAGCGTATGCAGCTCTGTTTTGCACAGATTGACCAGAATAGAACCTGATGGGTACTTGCTCCAGTGTCCGTGATTAGGCATGCTTGCCATGTAAACGCACTGAGTGAAACAAAACGCCTTATTTGAAGTCACAATTTAACGGAAGAAACAGGTCACTCGACTTGAGGCGCAAGAGAAACGTTATTGTTGTTGTCATAGTTTTCGACCAAAGGACCTAGATCGCCAGCCTACGGGATGGCAGAAAACCTCAGACTTCGATCTTAAAGTAATAAAAATACCGAGATAAATTTAGGATATTGTAGGATAGCCTTGGCGAGCTCTTTGATCAGCTGTTTGCGGCCCCTCGATCTAGAGTCTCAATAATTCTTACACCGCGATGCCTGCATAACAATGCATATGCATATTGCCTGGCTACGATTCAGGTTCCAACGGCTCTCTGCATGTGAACAGGGGCAAGTAAGGAGAGTTGGACAGCATGGATTATTATCTCTGATAAGACCTAACAGCATCTGTTTTAAATTTTACTAATGTTATTGTCATTGTCAATATTTTGCTGAGTTTCATCTCACCCAAAACTTTCAAGTGCCGCTGATTCTTGACATGTCAACTTCATCTTCTGAGGGGCAGTGCAGAACTCAGATATCGTAATTAGCATATTTACAATCCCATTCATTTTCTTATGCTTTATCTCGTCATGAAGTCCGAGGAGATGCTCGCCAGGATTCATCATCTAACTTGGCGGAGCCTGACCTGAAAGACAGAGCATGATGATGAAACGAGACATGTCAGATATCACATTACAATAAGAAACGTGAACATGACGATTTAAGCCACCTTCCAAAGACTGTCGAGAGACTGGAGATGTGACATGACGAACTCTGAGCTTTGACGTCTGTCTTCGCTCACCGGAGGTCTATTGAAGCTGGGCGTCCAAGATGAGACCCCCACACCTTGGCTGGACCAATCAAGGTGAAAGTGCTTATCAGAGACCATGGGTGAGCTTCAGCTCAGTGGCTAGGAGGAGGTTTCGTCATGTGTGACGGTTTGACTCGAGTTGACGATTTCTTTGCTTTTTATACAAGAGAAGAAGGTCGAGTCCTGTCATTTATACTCCGGGTGAGCGGCGAGTTGTGAAGAGATAACAGTGAGTGTAGGATTATGTGTAACTTCCTTGTCGAGCATCAATCTGCATCTCCGGGGAAGCCAGAGGCAAATAGATCTACATTACATGTAAGCAGTCAGGGGCAGGTTGGGGTCTGGGGATGATGTCTTATCAGAACGAAGATCTGGGGTTTTACAGCGACTGATATAGGCAGTTTTTGCCATTTGTCGTGAGTTTTACATGAGCTTTTGGGAAAGTGAAGCGAGATATCGTAGCAGTGAGAGAAGCCTGATGCCACCGCGATGGAGACTGATATGCGTTCCTGCATATCGAAGCCTTGTCAGGGCTAGAACTAGATAAGTTTGCGATGAATTCCTTACGAGGCGACATGGCGTGGTCGAACAGGATTGGAATGGTTATAGAAGGGGACTGAGTATAAGGGGAAACTTTAAGTGAGCTCATGAACTAAGTTGTAGTGAAAGTGCGCCCGTAGTAATAGTTGATGCCTTCGTTTGCGGGCACTTCATATGGATGCTCATTCACAATACAATTGAGACGAAGGCTGGTGATGAGGATAGGTAGTGTGAGAGTGAGAAGAGAGTGGCGAGGCTTAACTAAGGATAACTCTGCCGCAAACCGACAAGCGCCCGCTATACTGGATCGTCTAGTCTGGGGTGACCCCCACTGTATAGTAGTTGACAGAATAAAGCAGTCTTGAATCACCAGAGTGACATGTGTGACTACTCAGGTTATTCTGTCGTCTCCCACTCTAGCTCAGAGTCGAATTGCCTCGCCCCAAAAAAACGTCACGGCGGTACCGGTAGTCTCGAGACCCTTTTCGCGTCGTCGTCTCTCCTCCATATTTTCCCTCTTAACCAAAAGCCCACGGAGTCAGACCAGATACTCTAACTCGGTATATTACGTCGTCCCAGGGGTTGCACAGCCAAGCTCACCTCCAGGGATCTCTTATCTCTCTCCCGCCTGAACCGGAATCGCGCCCTTTTTCTCTCACATTCTCAATCTCAGCCGTGCACACTCTCAACACCAATTGCACCCCCTGCCTGGATCTCTTATCTTTTGAGTCTCTTCCTCCCTTCTTCCTACTTTACTGTTGGCCCAGCATGTCACTATCACTTCCGCTGTCACGCAGTGCAACCTCCTTGACCTTGTCACATCATCCCTCTTTATCGACGTTGGCATTTCTATTTCTATATCACTCCTCCCAAGTCAGAACCGGCGTCATGGCTATGGGAGGCGATGGTGATGCTCGAGGAGCAACACAGCTCAAGTATAACGGTACAGGCGCAACAGGTGCTAATCCGCTCAACATGGATGTCAATATCTGGTACGAGGTGAGTTGTCTATCTCCGTCTCTCATAGTCTCCTGTTTGATCCTCACTCTGTTCACTTTCTATTTCTCTTGATCTCTCAGTCTTCTCATCTTTCTTCTCTCACCCAAAAAAGAGTCTGAGAAAGTCCTGAGACAGGCAGTGGGTCACGTTGAATAGTGGCCCCTCCAATATCTTGAACGCCCGCAAGCTGACATTTTGCGCCCGCAGCCTGGAGATATCGCCTGGATGCTCTCGGCCACAGCTCTAGTGCTGTTAATGATTCCTGGCGTCGGGTAAGTCTTTATGGCTCTGTTCCATTGGGTTAGTGGTCTCATTTGCTGACGTTTGTGCCCATAGCTTCTTCTATTCAGGCCTCGCACGTCGCAAGTCGGCTCTGTCGCTTATATGGCTCTCAGTAATGAGCGCCGCAGTGACAACCTTCCAATGGTTCTTCTGGGGCTTCTCTCTCACATTCTCGCATACGGCCGGCCCGTTTATCGGTGACCTTGCCAACTTTGGCTTCCGCGATGTCCTGGCCCGGCCCTCGGTTGGTTCCGCGCATCTCCCCGATATGCTCTTCGCCGTTTACCAGGGCATGTTCTCCGCCTTAACTGTCGCTCTCGCTACCGGTGCCGTCGCCGAGCGTGGCCGCATGCTCCCCTGTATTATCTTCATCTTCGTGTGGGCCACTGTCGTGTACGACCCCATCGCCTGCTGGACCTGGAACCCTAATGGCTGGTCTAACAAGATGGGCGGCCTCGATTTTGCTGGAGGTACCCCTGTGCACATCGCTTCTGGAAGCGCTGCTCTGGCTTATTCCATGATGCTGGGCAAGCGTAGTGGTCATGGAACACATGAGCTCAACTACCGCCCTCACAATGCTACTCATATCGTGACCGGAACGGTCTTCCTTTGGGTTGGATGGTTTGGCTTCAACGCCGGCTCTGCCCTATCTGCTAACCTTCGTGGCGTAATGGCCGCCGTCGTAACTAACCTTGCTGCTTGTGTCGGTGGCATGACCTGGTGTCTCTTGGACTATCGTCTGGAGAGAAAGTTCTCCACTGTCGGCTTTTGCTCTGGCGTTGTTGCCGGTCTCGTCTGCATCACTCCTGGCTCTGGTGAGTAGACCATAATCTTTCAAAACCAACATGAGCTAACACCAGTCTAGGTTACGTCCCTCCATGGGCTGCTGTCATTTTCGGTGTTGTCGGCGCTGCTGGCTCTAACTACGCTACTAAGGTCAAGTTCCTCCTTGGAATTGATGATGCACTCGATATCTTTGCCGTCCACGGCATTGGTGGTTTGATTGGCAATATCTGCACCGCCTTCTTCGCCACACCCAGCATCGCTGCTCTCGACGGCTACTCTCACATCAAGGGCGGCTGGGTTGAACGTCACTGGGCGCAGATGGGTTATCAACTGGCCGACTCTATCTGCGGAGGCCTATACTCCTTCGTCGTCACTTGCATCATCCTATTCCTCATGAACCTCATTCCCGGTCTGCGTCTACGAGTTGATTCGGATGCCGAAGTTCAGGGCATTGACGATGCCGAGATTGGAGAGTTCGCATACGATTACGTGGAGCTTACTCGCGAAGTCGTCAGCGATATTGACAACGAGTCTGGAAGCCGATACTCGGCTGATCCTACGGCGTTCCACCATTACGAAAAGAACCACATCCCTATGATTGATGCTCGCATGTTTGGTGGCCAGCCCGCGCATGCCCCTGTGTCGTTTCCACAGTGAGGTTGCTTATGACAGGCGGGAGGGCTATATGTATTGAGTCAATTTGTACGCATCGAACGGCGCCATGGGTTTGGAATTGTTGAGTTATAGATACCCCGGTTCTTGGACCGATCTTGTTGGATGATTTAGTTGTATAGTATATAGTTTCATTATTGTATTAGCCTGGATAGACATTTTAGTATCAAAGACAAAAAGCATATTTTTTCATCCACGGACCTCTCTAGTCTCCATGTCAACTTTTCCGTGTTCACGATTATCCTTGTTAATTAGCGGGTCGGACCGTGATTCAGTGCTGAAGCCTGGCGATTTTAGCGGTTCATGCATTAGACTGGCCAATCAGGCGAAACAATCATCTTTCAACTTGGCAATCTCTCTGAGTCTTGAATGCACCATGAACATTGAACATCTCCTCTTTACTCATATCAGCAACCTGAACTTCTAAATCTGTACACTACTATGACACTCAGACTCACATGGCCCTCGATATCTTACGTCAGGCATCAGTGAGGGATTTTGGGATATGACCGAAACTCTGCCTTTTCAGTCGCGATTCATTGCGCAAGTCTCTCAACCATAAACAAACACCGGAACCTCACCATGACCTCCCTGCAAGAGAAGGCAGCTTTCTTCGATCAGCTTAAACCCCTCTATAGCGATGATGAGCTTGATGCGAACCAACAAAAAGAAAGGATGCGCTCTCGGAGGTTCTTCGCCGCCAAAACACGCCCCAAACCACCAGCAAAGGAGTCTGTCGTGCTTGACCTAACTAACGGTGAATCTCAAAAGTTGAGAGTGACACCTAGAAGGGTCACTTCACTTCCGACGCCAGCACCTGCTGAAGGCACAAGAGTTATCAAAGGCACTCCGATGACTGCGATCGGCCAAAAGAGCAAGCTCGGCACGCTCATGAATCAACGCAGCGCTGGGGCTATTCTGGTCGATGATACACCTATCCCTGACTCTGCACGGCAGACACAGAGAAGACTTCCTAGGAGCGGGTCTACACCTCTGTTCCCGTCGGGACGAAATCTCGCTCAAATGGTAGGCGACTCGCCTTCCCCGAGCTTAGCAATGAAAAAGCGAAAGCGTGAAAGTATGATCAAACTCAGGCCAGAGAGTGAGCAGATCTTCAAGGACCTCACATTTTACTACGTCCCCGATGACGATATTTCACCAGCTCGTCGATTACGTATCACCAAGGCGCGCGAGTTTGGTGCAACATGGGTGCGAACTCCACGCATTGCAACTCATATTGTTGTTGAGAAACATATACAGTACAAAGATATCGAGAGCGTATTAAAGAATACGAACAAGAACCTCCCGCCTAAAGTTGTCAACGAGGAATATCCCGTTGACTGCATCCAATTCAAAGCACTGCTTCAATGCAGCCAAAATAAGTATCGGCTTACAGGCCAGCCGATAGTCCAGGAAGAGGATAACCTGCCACCTCTGCCGTCAAGCTCTGAGAAGTCTAATAAGTCTCTGCAAGAGAAACCGCATCATAGGAATTCGAAGAAGTGGGATTTTGTTCCTCTCACGGGGACTCCTGAAAGGAGTGAGGAGTCTCCTCGTCGCAGCCAAGTTGCCAGGACTCCTATCCCGACAGATTCCCAGCCAGTTGTGCTTGATCTTAAGGGGATGGCCTCATCTCATCCTGCGGTTAGTGAAAGAGCTACCATCTCCCGACAAAATTCCACGATATATGTTCAAGAACCTAGTGGCTCTATGCAGCGCCCAGAAGAAGATCGCCATAAGGATGAGCTGTCCGAGTACATCAAGATAATGTCGGAGTATAAGGACCTCCCATTAGATGCGGACGACGATGATGCCCAAACAGTTACGGACCTGGAAGACCTGGAATCCGGAGAACAATCCCATTCAGGCTCAGAAGATGAACGGGCCAACAAACGAAGGTCACGAAGAAAGACTAGATCTGGTCGCAAAGACATTACCTTCGAAGACCGATTCTCATGCAACTCAGCCGGGGCGAAAGACGCCAAAGCGGGGAATCAAAATGCCCGCACAATCGAGGTTCTCCAATCCATGGCTGATTACTACAACCGGGTGAACGATCACTGGCGAACAACCGCCTATCGAAAAGTCATCAGCACCCTAAAGCGTCAAGAGGCGAAAATCACGACGGCCGAGGAGGCACAAAGACTACCCAGTGTGGGACCGCGTCTGGCGCAGAAGATTGAAGAAATCGTCACTACAGATAGACTCCAGCGACTTGAGTACGCCCAGAAAGAGCCGATGGACGAGGCACTTCAATTGTTCCTTGGAATTTATGGTGTTGGAAACAGTCAGGCCCAGCAGTGGTTGGCTCAAGGATTCCGGACACTGGACGACTTGAAAACGAATGCGAAACTTTCACCAAATCAGCTCATAGGCATCGAGCACTATGATGATCTCCGTACCAGGATTCCGCGTCGTGAGATTGAGGCCTTGGGTGCTGTTGTGAAAAGAGGTGCTCAGCGTGTTGATCCTCAGGTGGAGTTGATTATTGGGGGTAGTTATCGAAGAGGAGCAGAAACGTCAGGTGATATCGATTTCATCATCACCAAGTCGAATACCGAGTCATCGGCTGAACTTAGGCCTTTCCTCGATAGTCTTGTCCAACGCCTTGAAGCTGAAGACTTTCTTGTGGCACGGCTCGCGTCATCACGATCTGTCAGCGACGGAAGTAAATGGCATGGCTGCTGTGTACTCCCCAAGATCAGCGGCTTCAACGAGGAACGTTACAAACCCGTATGGCGCCGGATCGACTTTCTCCTGGTTCCCGAATCAGAGATGGGTGCGGCCCTGATCTATTTCACTGGCAATGACATCTTTAATCGCAGCATGCGACTATTGGCTTCCAAGAAAGGAATGCGACTGAATCATCGGGGTTTATACAAGGATGCGATGCTAGGACCGCAACGGGTCAAGGTCACTGAGGGAGAGCTTGTTGAGGGACGAGATGAAAGAAAGATATTCGATATTCTGGGGGTCAAGTGGAGAGAGCCTCAGGAGCGGTGGTGTTGAGGGACTCCAACCAGTGATAAGAATTCGTTTATCAAGGTACAACTGCGGAGGCGTCGCACAACATAACAGAGCCTCACGATTTCAGTTTTTGTCTACCGAGGTCAAAGTGGAGGATTTTCGGGAATGAATCAAGGGTACCTGAATAGCGTGGAGTTTCGGGGTTAGAAAATGGAGATGGGGTCCATTCGCATGAGGAGATAGATTTTGAAGCATTCTGTGAAGGCATGAAAATTAGATATATACGTACCTGGTCGTCTCATGTGAATCTGACTGATGTGTGCTTTCCCCAGATCTTGGCTAATGCAACTGGAACTTCCATTGAACCGCCATTCACATGTGAAATTCCTTAGATCCATTCTTCTCTCCAAGTATCAACACCTTTCAGTGGATAGCTCCCGCTGCGTCATAGTCAACTAGGCACTGTAGTGTATTCTTCCAGTGGGGGCATATTATTGCCGGGGCCACTCTCCGCAACACAAGCCGAGCGCAAAGCCCAAACATCCGAGGCTCAGCAGACAGGTGACATAGCATGTATCCATAATCCGGGGCGCCTTCAAAACCCATGAACCTACCAACTTTATCGATACCTCTGAATCCATCCATGCTCCTATACGACTCTTCCGCACGTGAAATCTGACCTACAAAATCACGCGACGACATTCGATGCCTTGAGACTGAAGCGCTTCGCGACAAACATCCTCTCCTGACGCTGCGACCGAATCTCTCTTTACGTTCTTTTGCCGAGGCCTGGGGACAAGATGGCTATGTCATCTTCGCTGGAAGTGTTAAAGGTACTGGTTTTATCGACTTGCGACACAATAGAGTTTGCGCTGACAGGTTTTGGGTAGAACACGCTGGAGGAGATTGTTAAGGACCCGCGATACCATGATCTCTTGTCTTTAGTCAAGACGGCGCGCAATGGTATTATCTACGGAACCAAGGTGCGGTTTCCGCATGCGCTGGTGTAAGTCATATGCAATCTCTTCAGCACCTCATTACTGACAAACATGAACAGGATGGTGTTTCTCTTCCGCTCTGGAACGTACGTTCGACATGTCATGACACCCTACCTGCAACAACGAGCTGACGTGCAACAACAGATTCCCACAGAAAGTCAACCTAGTCCTTCGAGCGACGAGACATCATGCAACCAACTTGGCGCGCTTCGCCCTTATTTATAAGCTGACCATGCTTGCGCTCAAATACTTTGGTGCCGAGCCAGGAAAGGAGGGTACGTCATCGTCAACGAAACTCAACGTCAACATATTACCCAGAATTCTAACTCTAAGTAGGAACATACGACTCCTTCGTTGGCGGTCTTGTGGGCGGATACTTTGTCTTCGGCGGTCGTTCCAAGCGTACGGGAAAGATCTCATCAGTCAACCAGCAGATCGTCATCTACGTCTTTGCGCGAGTGATGCTCGCTCTCGCCCGTATCGCCGTGAAGCCAGGCCACGGATTCCCATTCGTGTCATCCGAGCCTCTTCATGGAATCATTAATCAATATGCCTGGCCTGCGTTCGCGTCGCTCTCATGGGCTATGGTTATGTTGATCTTCCGATATCATCCCGAGGAGCTTCAGTCGAGCTTGAGAAGCAGTATGACGTACATTTATAAGGACTGCAATGACTTTGACTCGCTCCGGACTTTGCTTTGGCATAACAAATAGACGGGTGGTTTCGAGGGTGATATTTCTGTCGGTTAGTTGGTTTGGCGTTGGGCGTGAGAGATGCTTGATAATTTTGCATATCGGGATTCATTGCTTTAGCATTGCAGTCGTTGTAGGCTGGGCCTTTGGGTTTGTAGGAAGCATGAGTAGACTATGGATACATGACAACAAATATGATAGAGGTTGATCAAGGAATGGTTATCGTGGCATCTCCGTGTCCTTAAGCAGCTTTTTTTTGGGCACGTCTTGTAAACTTCCTTTTGAGCTGAGCGTCTTGTTAATACAACGTTTTCTTCACACATCACGGTATCTCCCATCTCAATGGATACCTTAGTAGGTAACTCGAAGTGGAAGTCCAGCTTTAATAGCTGCCTCAGCCATATCGCGCTAATCTGGTAAACTACCCCACTAACTTAGAGCTGACCCCTGCTTGCCCCTCCACACTGACGCCTGTAGTGAGCCTCAACTTTACCTCCAGGCTGCTATACCTCCACCTCAGTCCATCACTTTGTCTCTTTCAAACTCCTACAGACCGACAACCATGGCACCAAATCCCAAAGTTGCGGAGGCGATCTCGAATGCCGAGTCTTCCTCTGGAGAGAAGGGACCTCTCTACGAGCAACTGCTCTCCGAAATCAAGAACATTTCATCCCCGTCCACCGCTACCGACGACCTAAATGCTATCATCGACTCCTTCTTTGGCCAGGCGCTCGGCGTCGTGGCTACGCGGACCGTCCTCGCGTCTTTCATTGCGACACTCCGAGAACTAAAGGACGAGGATATGTGGATCGGGGTCGGAAATCGTACGCTAAACACCATCGCCGCTCAACCATCATCTTCTTCCTTCGTTGATGCCGTCGCCACGATCCGTGAGCTCATTGCTACGGCCCACGAAAGCAACGGTGACTTCCTTGATGCTGCAAAGACTCTGGCCGATATTCCGCTCGATAGTTCTCAGCGCAAGATCACCGATGAGGAAAAGGCTCGCACATGGATTCGCATCGTTCGAAACTACCTCGAAGTGGACGACTCTACGGCCGCCGAGATGTATATCAACAAGCTCAAGAACATCATGCATACCGTATCTGATCAGGAACTGAACTTGCACTTCAAACTCTCACAAGCCCGTATTCTGGACGCTCAGCGTGACTTTTTATCCGCATCTCAACGATACCACGAGATCAGCTTCTCGCCTGCGATCGACGAGGAGGAACGCCTACACACGCTCAGTATGGCGGTGAAGTGTGCTGTTCTAGCTCCCGCTGGTCCCATGAGAAACCGAACATTGAGTCGCCTTTACAAAGATGAACGTTCTTCGCAACTTGAGGAATTTGGTATTCTGGAAAAGATGTTCCTTGACCGGCTCTTGTCTCCTGAGGAGGTTGACAAGTTTGCAGAGGGACTCCAGCCCCATCAACTAGCAACTACTTCAGATGGCTCGACGGTACTTGCCAAGGCTGTCGTCGAGCACAATCTTCTCGGCGCATCCAGACTTTATAGCAACATTCGATTCGAGGCCCTGGGAACACTATTGGGCCTGGATGCTGATAAGGCTGAAGAAACTACTGCACGCATGATCGAGCAGGGCCGTTTAGTCGGACGTATAGATCAGATTGATGGCATCGTGTACTTTGAGGGTGGTGAGGCATCTGGAGAGAAGGGGAGTGGGCGAGCAGAAATCATTGTTGGCAAAGAAATGCGAAATTGGGATGCCAACGTTGAGAGTTTGGCTGAGGAGGTGGAGAATGTCACCAATGCGCTGCAAAAGGAGTTTCCCGTAAGTGCTCCAATTATTGGCCATGACCTTGATTAATCTCATACTGACTCTATGTAATAGGAATTTGTTGCCGCAACCCTTGTTGTATGAGAAAAGGACGAATTAGAACCTTCTAGTGGGTATGGCGTTTAGGGGTTGGGATGATCAAGGGCTGTTTATGTCCAATGCATAGCACATGGATCCCTTTGGTTGTAGACTGGCAATGATAATAAGCCAAAAGCTCTAGTCCAAGTCTTTCTTGCGGACCACCACGTATCCTTCATTGATATTCCGAGGGTTGCCATCCTCTTCATCGAACTGGAGTTCATCTTCCAGTACTAAGACTTCTAAGGTTTTGGAGTTAGAGGGCTCTTCAAATGTGCCTTCGCTCCAGAGGATGTCTATAAGAGCGTCGGCGATGTGGTTACCCATCCAGTCGTAGCCCTCGTCTCGAAGATGGAGACCGTCATCCCAGTACCTTTCGCGATCCTGTTCTGAAAGCGAATGGTAGGGTATCTTGGAATGAAGGTCAAAGGCGTAGCTGTCAAAAATCAGCATCAACTGACAGCATAGACAGCCAGATAAGAATTATGAAATCATGTAAAACTATTGTAACCACCGTTCAACTTACTATCCCGTGTCTTTGTTCTTGAGAATGCTCTGGTTGAGCTCGTTTCTTGATGACGTGCCTCTCTTCCCTTTTGACTTGCTTTCCGGAACCGTAAGAGCAAGGACTTTGAATTCTCGGCTCAGAGGGACATCGTATATATCCTTAAGGGCAGAAAAGATATTTTCAGGTGGGACACCGTACGCTATATCGCTATAGTTGTACATATCAGCATCTTTGTATCTGGCAGAAGAGGGTTGTATAACTCACTTCGTACCGCCAAGGACAATTGTCCAGTCATATGACTTATCCTTCCCTGTACCTCCTTGTTAGCCGGTTAAATGCTACGTAAGACTCCAAATAAACACCACATAATGACGTTCACATACAAGCAGCATCCATTCTATCTTTGAAGCGATTGAAAGAAGCAACATCACCCGGCACAGCATTCAGCACGATCTCAAAATCCACTTCGGGAAATGTCCCCGTGAGCCGGTCTTCCAGCTTTAGAGCGTATGGATGTGAGTCCATGCCATGGCAGAAATATCCCGAGGTTAGAGAGTCTCCAAAGCATAGTATACGAAGCGTCTTGCGAGGCATGGTGACGATGTCTTGTGTTGTGGTGTTGTGTAAACGGTAGGTGAGTAATGGCGAGGCGGGGTGGTATGGAAGGTGATTGCGTAGGTAGGTTGGTGTAAGCAGGCTGCAGCAATAGGGGTTTTGTGAGAAGGTTTAAAGGCCGTGTGTGCGTTGTGTGAAGTGTGAATGGGTTGGAAGCCAGTTTGTGAAACATGTTGCACCAATTAAGACAACTCATTCAACAGTAAGACAAGGTACTTACTGACCTAGAAAATTTCCAATGTAAAAAGAAAGTCCCAAGCAGTATGCCCGTAATAGATGGAGTTTAATATTACAACGCCTTTGCTTAAAACACATTATGCAGGGTAAGTAGCTTGTGGTTAAATGTCAGATAATATCTTCTAAAATCTCAATTCAAGTATAGAATAATATTAAATCCTAGAATAAAGACCTATAATATACCATTTGTGCCTCTAATGAGAAAGTATTATTATATACTGCTTGAAAACTGAGTAGGTAAACTGATTTTACTGGCTTCTCATGCTATCTCAGATCGAGGTATATGTCTCATCCTATGACACTAATCCCTAAAAGCAATACAGCTTCGGTGAGATGGCCGAGTTGGTTATGGCGCCAGGTTAAGGTTAACCTTGACACCAATTTCCTGGTGGAGCAATCCTCCTGGGTTCGAGTCCCAGTCTCATCAGTTATTCTTTTTGCTTTTTGCTGTTCCTATCAAGGAAGCCAAGTTCCTTTGTGCCGCTCGTGCGATGACGGAGTTTTCCCACGACATCATCGCAAAAAGTCTAAGCTCCAATCTTTGCAAGCTTCCAAGGCTTAAACTCAATCTATAGCTATTACCAATACTGACAACAGAGCTTGCTTCCCTCCAAACAGTTCCCCCAGTAGAGACCAATTTCAACCTCCGCATTTGTTCGTCATATCTCAAGCTTTGACCAAGTGTTTAAGGCTGATTCCCCTGTAAAAAATTGATAATTGTAACAATTCACAGCAACGGCCCACGCTTATTACTGTATTTTTCTGCTACTGCCCCGCCCCCTCCATTGCTCTTCCGCAATCGCTACTACCCCGCCAAACTTTTTTCCTTTTGGCCTTTCCTTACTCGCCCGAGAGCCCAATCCAAACCCGAATGAGACGCCCTCTTCCCACTTACATCTTTTCTTCTTTTTCTTCCTCGTCCCCTTCTGTCTTTCGTCTTTTTCCCTTTATCTCTCCCAAAAGCTTCTCTTTTCTAGCCTCCAAGATGTCCTCCCAGCAGAAGATCGCCATCGTCTCGGTCTACGACAAGACCGGTCTTTTGGACCTGGCTAAGGGCCTTGTCCAGCAGAATGTTCGAATTCTCGCTTCTGGAGGTACCTCCAAGATGATCCGAGAGTCGGGCTTCCCTGTCGAGTAAGTCAATACAAACGCTCAATCGCTTGATAGTAGAGCTAATTGACTTCTGCAGGGACGTCTCTGCCATCACCAAGGCCCCCGAGATGCTTGCTGGTCGCGTCAAGACGCTTCACCCTGCCGTTCATGCAGGTATCCTGGCCCGTGATCTCGCCTCCGATGAGAAGGACCTCGCCGAGCAGAACATCAACAAGGTCGATTATGTCATCTGCAACCTCTACCCCTTCAAGGATACCGTCGCCAAGATCAACGTCAGCATCCCCGAGGCCGTCGAGGAGATTGACATTGGTGGTGTTACCCTTATCCGTGCTGCCGCCAAGAACCACAAGCGCGTCACTATCCTCAGCGACCCTAACGACTACGCTGGCTTCCTCAAGGAGCTCGAGAAGGGCGAGATCACCGAGTCCAGCCGCAACCGATATGCCCTCAAGGCTTTCGAGCACACTGCCGACTACGATGCTGCTATCTCCCAGTTCTTCCGCAAGGAGTACGCCGGTAACGGCGAACAGTACAGCGCCCTTCGATATGGCGCCAACCCTCACCAGAAGCCTGCCGCCGCCTATGTTTCCGAGGGCAACCTGCCCTTCAAGGTTCTGTGCGGCTCACCCGGTTATATCAACCTTCTCGACTCCCTCAACGCCTGGCCTCTGGTCAAGGAGCTCAAGAAGGCTCTTGGCAAGCCTGCTGCCGCCAGCTTCAAGCACGTCTCTCCCGCTGGTGCTGCCATCGGCCTGCCCCTTACTGAGGACGAGAAGAAGGTCTACTTCGTCCATGACATCGAGGGTATTGATGAGTCTAGCCTTGCCCAAGCCTATGCTCGTGCTCGAGGTGCCGACCGCATGAGCAGCTTTGGCGATATGATCGCTCTCAGTGACGTCGTTGACGTTCCCACTGCACGCATCATCTCCAAGGAGGTCTCTGATGGTGTCATTGCTCCTGGCTACGAGGATGCCGCTCTTGAGATCCTCAAGAAGAAGAAGGGCGGCCGATACCTTGTTCTTCAAATCGACCCCGAGTACAACCCTCCTGCTACCGAGACCCGCACCGTATACGGCATCAACCTTCAGCAGCACCGCAACGATGTTGAGATCACTCCCAAGCATTTCAGCACAATCATTACCCCCAAGGACACTGCTTCTCTCCCCGAGAGCGCAGCTCGCGATTTGACTATTGCTACTATTACTCTTAAGTACACTCAAAGCAACTCCGTGTGCTACGCCTACAACGGCCAGGTCGTTGGCCTCGGTGCTGGCCAACAGTCCCGAATTCATTGCACCCGACTTGCCGGTGACAAGGCCGACAACTGGTGGATGCGCTTCCATGAGCGTGTCCTTGGCATTAAGTGGAAGAAGGGTACCAAGCGCCCCGACAAGAGCAACGCCATTGACCTGCTCGTCAGTGGCCAGCTCCCTAAGGATGGCCCTGAGCGCGAGGCTTTCGAGGGTGTCTTCGAGGAGGTCCCAGCTGCCTTTACCCCTGAGGAACGTGAGGCTTGGATGAAGCAGCTTAAGGATGTTTGCGTTTCCAGCGACGCTTTCGTAAGTAGTATACCCATTGGCCGATTGAGCTTTGCTAACATGGATGATAGTTCCCCTTCATTGATAACGTCTTCCGCGTTGCTCAGTCAGGGGCCAAGTATGTTGCCGCTCCTGGCGGTAGCCAAAACGATGCCGCCGTCTTCGATACCGCTGAGAAGCTGGGCATTACCTTTGTCGAGCAGAACATTCGTCTGTTCCACCACTAAATGATACCTCATTCAAAGTTTTTGCAATTTGATATGGAAATGGAAATGGAAAAGGAAAAGTAAAAACAGGTCTGAAAGGTTTGGCCTGGCAAAGAAGGATTCCCAGAAATTGTGATCTGTACGATTGCGATATTGTATATATGATAGACTTAACACCGCGCCCAGACGCTCACTTCAACGTGATGATGATGATTTAAACCATTTGTAAAAGCTTTCCGTCCATGTCCATCTGTCCCCTCTCGCACCAAAGTCGGTATACGCGAGACCGTGACCCAACCCAAAATTATCTATCCCCGTTGCTCCGTTCCATTGTTGTCATGATCGCGACACCAAGCGCAAATAAAAACCAGATAAACCTCAAATCGCCTTGTTTCCATACACCCCTTACGTACCAACCCTTTATCTCCTTAATCCTCGATATCATCATCACTCAGCACCAATTTCTGAGCGAGAAGTCCCGAAACGTTTCCTTCCTTTATACCCGCACTTCTCTTCCGAGGACTCATTTCCTCTGACGGCTTATCTGTTGCCCAAGCTTCTCCCGGTAGCATGTCGTCATCTGCGTCGGACTCTTCATCGGCAGTATTAATGCCTTTGAATGCAACCACCTTCTCGAGTTCGCGCAGACGGAAGCTGGATGTTTTTCGAGCACGCGCTATATGCGCCATGTATGGGAGACGCTCAAGGAGCATCTCGCGCCGGGCTGCGCTGCCAAGTGAGAGAAGCGGCGCACTATCAGGATCGTTTTCTTGCTGCTGCTGTTTTACCATGGCTTGACGATTTTGCTGTTTACGCTGCATCCAGGAAGTTTCGCTAGAGGATTGCTGAGGACGACGAAACGCTGTGGCTCCATCGGTGAGGTTTTTCGTTGCTCCATCATCGCCTTTAAGTAGTTTTGTAGACCACATATCCACAAAGCCTTCTAACTCTTCCTTGGCACGCCAGAGTTTCAGACTCGTTGGGTAGAACATCTTGAAGGCGTCGCTGCCCTTGGACATGGTTGATGATTTGCGCTTAACAGGGTTAGGGAGTGAGAATAACATGCCCCTGACAGCCACCTGGAAGGTTATTTCATCCTGTCGCAGCACATGGCTGCCAGAGTCTGGGCCTGAAAAGCCACCTCTGCCACCGAAGAAGATGTCTCTTGACGGTGAGAGGAGATCTGCTTGTGACAGATACTCGATACAGTCGTTAACGTAATCCATTGGTGTTGACAAGTCCATCGGATCTGTGCTCTCACACGACAGAACGTAGTTTTCGTGTAATGCCGAGACAAAAGTATGTGTATCTGTGCCCGTCTCGTCAATGAGCGTGTCAACAGACACTTGTGAGCGTTTCGGTCTCGAGAAATGCGAAAGGAAGCTTGGCAGATTCTCGACATTGTCACCTCGTGGAGGAAGTTCATCTCGTTTGTTGTAGACGACTTTTCCAACAGCATGGAAAATACCTAGACTCGCTTCACGTTGAGATACTTGTTCCAGACTCTCCTCTTCGCCTTGTGTGAGCTTGATAGCATCTTTCACGCCCTTAGTCTGCTTTGTGAGCACGACTTTGTTGCCCCAATCTCCTTGCTGGTCACCCTTCAGACATAGGAACTCGAGAGATGACACGGCGTTTCTGATGTCTCCTATTTCACCGAGGCGTTTTAGAACTTGAGGACCTGGGGTTGTCCTGCGACCAGATTTTCTGGCCTCTTTCTGGACAACAAGCTCGAGTGCCTTCAGGAGTAACGATGGGGCGATGGCATTGAACTCTATCATACCAACCCCTGGATGTTGTAAGATTTCCGGGCCCAAAAGTCGATGGGCAGTAAAACTGTCCGCCGATGCAGAAGTCGTAGTCAGATGAGTCTCTGAAATGACCATGACCACGGGCGTTATAGGCTCATGCTGCGAAGGCTTCGCAAACATGGATAAAGACGGTGTGCTATCAGCAAGGTACTGTAAAACAGTGTTCCGGAAGGATGTCAAAGCCGTTGAAGATCTTGAAAATGTGTTGGGAAACTCCTCGATGAGAATAATTCGTTTCGAATCATTCTTTCGGGTGATCTGAGAGCTGTTCTGGGTCGACGGCACGGGAGTATCGATCTCCAATGCTCCAAATTTACCACCACGACCAAGAAACTCTTGAAATTGCGCAGATGCTGAAACGAAACCCAGTCCAGAGCCTCCCGCAGGATTTCGCCATTCAAGAAGCTCACTGCCCATATCGTTTGCCAGAAGTCGCATAGTCGTTGTCTTTCCGGACCCAGCTGCGCCTTTGAGAATAAGTAGACGCTGGCGCATGCGCCCTGCTATCACATCCTCCAACCATCTCCTCACATCGGAGACCTTTTTCTTGTGTACTGCCAATTCCTCCAGATTTCGAGGTCCAAATCGTTCTGACCAAGGGCGTGTATCATCATTTGGCGTAGCTATAGGTACTGGCTTAGGTGGTTTGATAAACTTTTGGCTGGCGCTGGGTACACTCGACAACGATGATTGCGAGCCGTTTCGTAATCTCTTCTTAGCATGTTGCCCGACCAAGCTTGCAGAACTTGTCTTATGTTCTGAGATCTCATCATCCTCTGAGATAGGATCACTGATAATATCTTCAAGAGGAACGGATCGCCTATCTCCAGCTCCCGAACGTGCGGCCCTTTGTGCCTGATTCGAAAAGAGTGTCTTCAAATCAGCTGTCTTTCCCGTATCTGCGGCTTTGCCAACATCCTTGGTACGTTTCGCGTTTGGACTCATGCTATTGCTCTTCGGTTGCGCTCGACGAGGTAGACGGAGCGAGCCATTCTTGGTTGGCTTGTTGGCGACGATCTTAGGTTTTGTCGGACTCGGCGAAGCTGTAGTGACGCGACTTTTCGTAGAGGAGCTTGGTGAAGTAACCAGAAACTTGGTCAGGGTGTTTGCACGGGACGGTTCGTCTTCATCATCTGAAGCGTCAACGACATTCCGCCGGCGGCGCTTCGCGGGCGGAGCCATCGGCGCAGAGGGTGCATTTACAGCAACAGCATAACGTTCTGAAGGGGTACGCGATTGATTTGGGGGTGCGTGCTGGAGATTTTCGCATGCCGTGGAGAGATGGTGATGATGTTGGACTATCTGATAGCTTTGATGGAGCGTTATCGTGAATTGGGACCCGCAGTACAGTGTATGACCCACTGAAGCACGTTGTATTAACATCTACCGTCTGCTTAAATTGACTGCCGGATGGAGGATCGATTTTAAACAAATGAATCACTAGCCACAGCATGTTCGCGACAGTTTCATTAGTTCGTTTTCGCATTGTACCGTAGTGCTACCATTTCGCAATGTCATCAATCTGAAGGTGATTTTACAAGAAAGTACATAACTGATCCGTTATCCGGGGTACACTGTTGCTTCATTTTCTCAGACCATCATCCCAGGTATCTCATGTCCTTATAATACACGCTTCCCATCTCAGTATGTCCATCCTTTGAAGTTGTCGACGAAGGTCAGGGCAGCCAGAAGGTATCGGTCGTGAACATCGCCCCATGTTTTTGAAGCCTCCTTCAACGCCCGAATTGCTGTCACAGGGTTAGTGGAGGGGATATGGCAATTGGAGATATGACCTTACCTTTGACGTAATGAGCATCTGTAGCCCAGTCAGAGTTCACTGCCTTGTCCTCCACGTACTTCCAGCCTCGTTGTTTGGTATCGCTGTCCACATTATCCGGATCAGGGAGTGGTCGGCCTTTCACGATAAAAAGGCCCAAGGCCAGAAGCCACCATTGCCGAACAAGAGGAACATGATATTTCTCGGGAATGAATGGAAGCAGAACTCGGACGGCATGACTGGTTGTTAGTATATGAACGAGCATGAAGTTGAATGCATGGGTGCCTGGCTTGACTGTGGCAACAAGTAACGCAGCTGCAGCTTCTTGGGACAGTTCGAACTGCTTCACAGGATCTGTGATTTCCCATGCGTTCCAGTACTCCAGTATGATATCCTCATGCTTGCTGAAGAGCTCTTCCAGATCATACAGGCCGAATCCGACGGCATCAAACCGGTCATCCTTAGACAATTTGGTGAGAAGATCTAGCGGGGAGGCCGAGGTGAAAGGGGCCTTTCTGGTGTACGACTTGTCGTCGAGGTACTTGTGGAGGAAGTCATGCTGAACACAGGCAAGTCCAAGAGCTTCCATGGCAAGTTCCTTACAATCCATCTCGAAGGCATAGCCTAAGTGGATCAGCGGGTGCCCGACTGTAAGTGTTAGCAAAGACATATTTGGTTTATATAGGATTGTAGACTTACGACCACCGATCAGACCATTGATTAGAGGCTCATCGCCGGTGAACAGATAATGCTCCATTTCTTGGTGCCAGTCATAATGGAATCGCATAACGAGCTTGTCTTCAAAAAAGTCCACAAAAGCCCGCTGGTACCTAGCATCACCGCGAAGCTCTTGCCAGTCATCTTCTCCAATCTCAGCGGGTGACGGTACCCATGCCTCCAGCTCGCGGATTTCTCTGTCATAGATGTCATTTAGTTGAGGAACACTTGCTCCCAAGAGGTATGCTGAGCTGAGGATATGAGCGTTGTGATTATCGTATTGAAGGTTGTTATAGACGATTGAGTAGTTGGCATGATTCGCTTTCAAAAGGTGCTTTAGACATCTTGCCCGTTTGCTTGGGTTTGTCTCAATGTGATGAATCTCAACTGAGGGGATGTTGATGGCTTGGCGATTACCATCAAGTCCTAGCAGTTTATTAACCACAGGAACTTGAGCAAGAATCCCGGACATTTTAGGATCGCAAGACGAGAAAAGCTGACTGATTTGAGGTTATTATGAGGAGAAATTATCAAATGCTCATGACGTTGAATCGAACAATGAAATCAATCTTCCGTTGGGGCTTCCAACGGGCACTAATAAATGATAGCGGGGCAGACCTTTTCTTTGGGGGCAGGGGTGACACTGTAACACAGCGGTTCCCCAATGACGCGTGCACGGGCCACACAATTATCAATCTTCAAGTCTCGCGTCTCGCTCAAAAATCTTTAAACCGAGCAAGCCACTCACTTCAACGAAATCCCCTGAGGATGACGTCTCAAACCTCCACGATATATGCAGAACTACTGTCGAATATCAGACAAATTTCTGTTGTTGCATCACTAGTCACACCAGTCGACTCTTCGACAAAAGCAGAAATCTCACCGGAGGGCCGGCAACTCAGCGTAACACACCATGGCCATATAGAGCACGTCACTCTACCGGCACAAACATCTGTCATAGGCTCATTGCCTGTAGCCCAGATTGGTCGTTCAAGTCTATCATGGAGGCTTCCAGCCTCACCAGCAGAAGCGAGGCCCTCTCATTTCTCTTTAGAAAGCCAGGCGTTGCCATGGACATCAGTCGATATCACGACTGGCTCATCGGTAGCCTGCCGAAGCTGTGGAAGCGAGTTTGTCGCGCAAAGTGTCATAAATACATGGAAAGACTTACCGAGTGAGAACTGGGCCGAAATGATGGAATTTTGGCATTGCCATAAACCTCATGACCATGACCACCAAGATCCTGAGTCTTTGGCCACCAAAGGCTATGGTGCCAATCATGCTATATCCGCCCAACAGGGCGTTGGCTTCGTCGACCTGACATCATTCCTGTTCTCGGAGTCCGACTGCCGAGGCCTGCAAGTAAGTATCAATCCAGCAGCACTGATTTGTCCTTGACTACGCTTGGCCAAACCTCAATCAATCAATCCATGGGGAGAAAGAAGATGTCCATGTCGGTATCCCAAACCTCTCAGTGATTTGGCCATCGATACAACTCCCCAATATGAATGCACTTGTCGTTCCCACCCCGATGGGCAGTCAGCTTTCTGGAAACCTTCTTTACAGAACGGGATCCTAAGGTAATCTGAAGACGCGGCCTCTCTTTTTCATCTAACCTCTCATAGATATGAGTGTTTAGAGATTACTGAGAGGTATATTGCTCAAGAAATTGCTTGACGTTTTTGATCATTGACAGTTTACTTACACACTACAGTATTCTTCCTCAACACCAGATGCTGGGTTCGATTTATCTTCGTTGGCGCTCAATAACGACGAAAGCAAGAAGTTTTTGCACATCTTTTGCCGGGAATGCACGACAGAAGTTGGCTTGTACAATATCGCGGCATTGTCTGTCACACTGTTCAAATGGAAAATTACTTGCCAAACCAAGACCTCAGATCCTAGCCCAAGCAGTCCCGAGTGTCTTGCGGCAACTCTGCTGGCTACGATTTCGAGGTCGGGGTCATCCAAGTCTATTATCACGCCGCATATTCCTGGGAATGCAAAATCTGAAGCAGTTGCTCACCAGAACCTTCATCTCTGGGTGTTGAATCCCAATGTTGTATATACAGCGTCCTCTACCGCTGACCGCAAGACGGCGATGAAGATACTCTACAAGCATATCGATTCAGTAGAGAGTGAGAAGCTTATCACGTCCATGACCTCAGATGTCCAGGAGATAAGTTTGCCTGAGGAAGCCATCAAAGCAGCAGATGTTTGCTTGTTATCGAGCAGTCAATTACTACCAGTCCAAGAAAGGACATTCAAGGAGTGGAAAGTGGGACTGCTTGAGAGATGGGAACCTGCGTCTTGATGATAGGAGATCAATATATTTCTTGACTTGCTATGAAAAAAACTCTCTTGGTATCCAATAGAATAAATGTGTTAAAATCCAGCTGTTATCTAGATTGGCAGGTATTAATTACCCCGGTTACACAGCGTCAGTGAATATCTCTCCACAGTATGCAAACACAGTAAGAGCAACCACAAACCAGTCGAGAACACTGTGCAGCGAAGCTGCTCGAACTGTACGTTTTATCTATCTGTAGGCAGCCACTTGTGTTCTCTTCCTCTGACCAACATTCCCCTCGCATGGACCAAGACCAAGGGAAATCTTGTATCAGATCTTCGAAAAACCCTAATGAGCACATGAGCTTGCCACTGCGGACTTGAATTTGCAATGAAGAATTAATGTTCGCCCTTCTTGAAAAGCCGCCTGCTCATACCTCGTAGCAGCCTTACTCAGATCACGATGCCACCAAAAAGAACAGCTTTCATACCCGCTGGGTGTATGCCGGTCAAGAGAGCAGAGATAAAAATAGATTCAGAATGGTTCTTAGACGAACTTCGAGAATGGAGATCCTTCGGCTCGTCATCGAAAGAAATAGGCGAAGCAGACTTAGACGATGACGAACCCTTCCTCCCCGATAACTTGGAAATTGCTTTGACTCAAATAGGGACACTCCGATCATGTATCAAACTTTTCCGAGCATCCTGGGCAAAACTCCAATTTAGCATTCAGAACAACGATTCCGATAATGGCATTCTTAGAGTCTATCTTCTGCCTGATGATGTCCTACGTTGCACGGTGGACCGTTCAAATCCTTCTCTATTGAAGGCAAGAAACACTGTCCTTGGACAATTGAACTACTCACAAGAAGCCTGGGCTGGAAATCCAAACGCAATATGGTTGGACAAGCCACTCCTCCACGAAGCTGTTGTCCAGAATGATGATTTGAACGAGGGCATGTCTCTGTTGCAACTTTTCAACAAAATCCCGTCACCTACGCCTAGAATCAGCAGCATCGAGGAAACTTACTCAAAGTCTGCCATGTGCGATCTTTTGGACGGCCAAGTTCCAGGCTTGAAGTCGGAGCTGTACCCGTATCAGCGAAGGTCGTCGGCCATGATGCTGCAAAAAGAGGTACAACCCGAGCAAGTGCTTGACCCGCGTCTACTTCGCGTGAAAGATCAAGAGGGGGGATCATGGTACATTGATACTGTAGCTGGTACAGTGCTTAGGGAGCCACGATACTATGATGGCGTCTGCGGCGGCATCCTTGCTGAAGAGATGGGCTCTGGAAAGACTATCATTTGTCTCGCGCTCATTCTTGCAACAAAAGGACTGCCTACTCAACCACCTGAATACGTTTGTGCTGAAAAAGCCCCGATCAGGAAGCGTCTGGCCTCGTTGGCTGAAATGGCTGCGTCTTGTGCCACAAGGAATGCAGTTCCGTGGCAACCCTATTTCGACCTTTACAAGGCACAGTCAGGAGACGAGTATGAGAGATGCATCGAAGCACTAGAAAGAAACCCAGGGTACTACTCTATTCAGTCATCTGAAAACCGACGAACTACGAGATTTTGTACCGGAATTCAGTCCAAAAAGAAGCGGCTCTACCTCAGTAATGGGAGTATCGTGGTTGTGCCCCCAAACTTATTGGTGCAGTGGAAGCAGGAGATCAGCAAGCATACTGATGGCCTGGAGGTTCTCGTTGTGACCCGGGATCAGCCACTGCCTAAACCCGAAGACTTGTTGAAATTTGATCTCATCCTCTTCACCCAATCGAGGCTGGAGGCTTTGCTGCGACATGAGGGTGGAGTTGAACAATCTCCGCTGTCTAAGGTCCATTTCAAGCGATGCATCGTTGATGAAGGACACAAGCTTGGGCATTCGAGGATGAGCAGCAAGAGCAATATGCTTCTCGTTCTAGATGCTTTGCATTTCTCTGCGCGATGGATCGTGACAGGAACTCCATCTCAAGGCTTGTATGGAGTCGACATGCAGGCAAAAACACGACTATCTGTAGCACAACCTGAAAAGGGTGGTTCAATGCCGATTAGCAACGCAACCAGAAACTCTATCCTAGAAATGGAAAAAAGAGATCTGGAAAGGATTGGTATTATGGCAGCACTCTACCTGAGAGCCCGGCCATGGGCGAACACGACCCTGGACGTTGGTGATACCATGGCGGACTGGGCCACTTACCTGCTACTTCCGAAACACAAAAAGAATAGTGGAGGCCGTTGGGATTGCTTGAGATCAACCCTCAACTCTCTCATCATCAGACATCAGATCACAGAAGTTAATAGTCTCTTCCCAGCGGTCAACGAGAAGCTCGTTGTATTGGAAGGTTCATACCAGGACCAGATGTCCCTCAACATCTTCTCCATGATGATCATCTTCAACTCAGTGCAGTCCCAACGAACTGATATGGATTACTTTTTTCACAACAAACAGCGAAAGGCTCTCCTTCAGATTGTGCACAACTTGAAGCAGGCGAGCTTCTTTGGAGGATCTTTCTATTCTCAGCAAGATATAGAAAAAGCTGTCAAGACCGCTGAAGATTTCCTTGTAGAGAAAAAAGTACCTATCAGTGACCAAGATCGAGAACTCCTTGAGCAAGCGATTGAGTTTGGGCATGTTGTTTCCAGCAACAAGGTCAAGGCTCTTAGCAATGCATTTCATGAGATGCCGCTCAGCGTCCACGGTTTACCCCACAATGTCAGCGCATCTTGGTCGCTCGACCGTGAAGCAGGGGAACACATATGCAGCTCATCAACCATGTTGGTGACACTGCAGAAACTCATTTATAAATCAGCATCAAAACCCGAGGAGCTCAATTCTCTATTGAATGGCCGATTGATTCAAGAAGGGATCGATTCAAGAATGCGTATGCTCGCATCAGATGAGACAACAAACAGCTCGCAAATCTTAGCCGGGAATACGACACTGGGAGATGACAAACACCGAATCACGAATGCTCATGGCGTCAGTGATGTGAAAGCAGAAGTCGAAGCTACCGCTGATGGTGCACTTGGGCCGTTGGAAACAGTTAAGATTATATCCACGGTGTCAGCCAAACTTTCGTACCTGATTGATGGCGTTCTCAAGTATCAGGAAGATGAGAAGATACTTATCTTCTATGAAAACGACAATATCGCATGGTATCTAGCCGGTGTGCTGGAAGTTGTAAGGAAGGATATGCCTGTGATCAACCCAATACTAACTTCAAGCAGCTTCAAGTACAACATCTAATATATGCCAAAGGATTGACCGTACAGAGAAGATCACAATACGTCAACACTTTCAATCACAATGATGATTTCAGGTGAGTTTCTGAACCACCTTTGATGCTATGGGCTAACAAGGATGAAGAGTTCTCCTCATGGACATCTCACAGGCAGCTTTCGGCCTAGATATGAGAGTTGCGTCAAGAATCTACTTTATCAGCCCAGTCCTAAACCCTCAAGTTGAAGCGCAGGCAATTGGGCGTGCGCGAAGGATCAGCCAGCAAAAGCCGGTCTTTGTCGAGACGCTAGTACTGAAAAACAGTATAGAGGAGGTTATCTTAGAACGCAAAGAACACATGACGCAGGCTGAACACCGCCGAGTTCAATCCATTCTGGATGATGGCCCAATTTACGACTGGGTCAAGAATACCCGGATCACACCATTGCCGGGGGGCGAGTTCAGTAAAGAGGATCAGATGGCACCTCTAGATACACCGCAATACGTTTTTAGGCGAGGATTTGGAAGGACTATACATCCTGATGAAGGCTTGGTACTGGACGAGACTCCAAGATCTGATGGGAGAGTGCTGAGGTCTCTCGAGATGGCGAATATGAAGAAACGAAACACACAGTTTGATGCAGTCACAGTTGGTCGAGATCAGGGTCAACACATAGACTCGTCATCCAACATAAGGGATCTTGCCGCGCGGCCAGCGAAGAGAGTGCGGTTCGGATGAAGGGTGAAGAAGTATCCCACCTGCCCACCTACTGGGTGTGCAGAACTGCGCCACGCACTGCCACATCCCCGCACTGAGGTGTGGCGAGTGGGAAGCCTAGTTTCAGAACCAAGTCAGAAGTTGGTTAAACATTGCAGATACAAGCTGAAAGATGCACATGCACATGGAAGAGTTTGGAGTTTGGCGTCATGGAAGAAGAATTCAATTGCTAGTTGAGAGAAGCTAAGATGTATGGAGTATCGCATATAGCCACCCATTAAATGTACCTGCAAGCTAGAGACCAGCCACCTGGAAAATCAGCAACGAAAATGAACTTAGCCTGGTGTTCCTGGTTACCAAGAGCCTCAAACTTGGACAGAAAATGGGGCTGTTTGTTAGCTTCTGTAAGCGAAGCAGAGTGAAAGAGTGATGGGAAAATGACATCTTTGATGTTGAAAACAGAATATACCGTACATTGGCAGCGGTTACTTCATAACAAGGTATCCCTGTAGGCACTGTATTGAGGCTCAGCAATTGAGAAGAAGCGGTATAGAATGGTAAGTCAAGGGTTCGATAACTCTTTGTTCAGAGGGAGCACAAACCTGAGATCAATAAGAACGAGACCATGACTGTCCAGTTGTATCCTAAACTTTCAACCATTGCGGATATGTCGGTTCTCATGACGAGCCCCCCCCATAACAAATGCCAACACACCCAAGATGCACGTATGTACTGTACATATGGGTACGCATTACGGTGAACCGTCAGGAGGATTCGCATCACCGTAGTTTTACCCGACGCTTTCAAGACTTGGCGATAATTGTGAAATGCACATTTTGTGGAGGGATGGCTAGTCGATATAGCGTGGGTACCCGTACAAATCTCCGAGATTTTATGCTATTGAAATGTCTGTGTGTTTTTCTTCCCAAGGATGGAAAACATTCCCTGCTCTGATCGGATGAGAGGAGTCTAGGGGTCCCTTGTTGCACAAATGGTTATTGAGGTCCTGTCAATATGCACAAGTTTAACGGATCGAACGTCCCGAAAAGTACTTGGTACATATTTCCAGCCACAGAATTACTCTGCAGCCAACCTAAGAATTCGGTAAAGAATTGTCTGAGTTGTTGAAGGATTGAGTTGATGTTGAGGTCATGAGACCCCGCTGCGTTGGCTGTGTTTTGCTTGGTATTGGTATGGAGTTTCTGCAAAGCATAGAAAATTGGGTGTTACAAGCAGAAAGACAGGGATGAGCTGTGTTCCTGAGGCGATGCTATTTTTGAACTGGCGGTTGGGTCTCTAGGTACTCCTAAGAGGCGATGCACTGCTCAAGTATTCCGCTCTATTGATAATTCAAGCACTGGAGTATGATCATGTTAATATCGAAGTTCTCAAGCCATTTATATATTCCTCAAATGTTTACTGTTGTACAGTCCTCTACTGGTCAAACCCCAGGTCTACGTCTTCAAGATTTACAGTACAACCCCAGCAAATCCAAAACACAAGCAAGCAGGGGACAAGGCAGGGTTCTCGTTCTCGACCACCCAAGTTACGGATCTCTATTGGCTCCGTACTCTCAAACCTGAATCTTGGTTTTTCCCTGTGGCTTTGCTAGAATGGATTTTGTTTTGTGAGATCGATCGGGAGCTGCGTGCGTCACTTGAGCGACTGTGCACAATCCATAAGTTACTTAAGGTTGACGCAAGCCCGTTTCGGGAGGTTTACCAAAGTCTTGGGTCTTCTCACTTAGTACTAATACTGTACTTCTCACCTGGTCAACTAAAAAGTATATCGACTCTGCTGACGAAGGGGGCTGCATGTCTGAGATACCCCTACGCCAAACGATGCAGAGGCGTTTGACTTGACCGTGTATTTTGCATTGGATAGCTTCCAATGGTGTGATTATAGGACAAGTCTCCCTCCCTGATCAAACTTATCGTCTGCCTCTTAAGTCCTGATGTCCCCCTGAGCCGCTTCGTCCTTGTCCTATACTTCAACAATCATATTATTTCTTCGGTTACGATATTATCGACTCTATTGGTCCGGCAGTCAACATCGGAACATTATCACGACAATCTGGTGCAACATAAACGAATATCGATAGACAAAAAAAAAAACACCCTGTCACAATAATAGCCTCCGTCGATCATCTTCAAACTCCACATTAGCGACCATGTTCGAGGTTCAACATAACCACCATGGACAAGACTTCAAGCGCTTCTTTCATCATGGTCGAAGCTCAATGTCTGCCATTGAGGATAAGAGGGCAGAAGAGTTTAGGAGACATGTCTGGGCGGTTACTATGATTGATGAGGATCCATTGGCAGGGAGTGGGAAGAAGAAGAACCGCCAATCGATTGACCTTGTGTGAGTAAAAGAGTTTCTTTCATTATCGTCCGTCACCTGTTTTACAGTCAGCTATACTCAACATCCCATTCCTATACCACGCAACATAATGCATTGTCTATTTTATAACCCCTTCTTTTCTATTATTCTCCCTCTCTTCACCCTTGGAAAGTTCCAAAGTAAAACCCCTAGAAGACATCCGGAAGAAGAACAAGAACGCCTCATCTCAATCAGCCCCTAAACCCGGCGTCTTAGTGTCTTGGTGTTGGTGTTGGTGTTGGTATTGGCCGCATGCGACTCCCGCTCTAGCGCATTCAGCTCCAACAGCGAGGCTCTCACATCTCGATGTTTTTTTAAATTACATGTCCACATTTTCCCCTGCGTGGCGCTTCAAGCTCCCTGTCTACCGCAAAGGCACAGCCAAAAACATCTCTCTGCCTACGTCAGATCTTTGTCTAAAGAGGCCAATTATGCCTAGTTTAGGCATTTGCGTGTACCATGGGGAAGTGGTGTGATTCTAGGACTTTTTTCTTCTTTAGCACCCATGTTGAATGATATACCTACGATTTCCGTTGACTCGCGGAGGTTGTTGTCGTTGTTTTCAAGCACACGTTTTTTTCTTAATACTAATAATTTGATTCTATTTGTATAGTCGTCCTGGTTCAAACAAACTGAGATCGAAAAGAGCTTCTGCATATGCTGGATCACCGCCAGTAACAAAGCCCAATGACAAGCAGCACAAGAACCAGCTCAAGCTCGACACTACTACAACAATGAAGGACCCTACAGTTACTGTCCGGCCTGTTCACCCGCCGTATTTTGGCTCACCAACAGACCTATCTTCAGTTCAAGAAAATGCTATCAACGCTTTCCTTGCAAACACCGAATCTCCAAAGAGCAAACAAGACAACTTTGCCCCAACAGCGTATCCTCGACCAACATATGCTGTCCTCGAAACTCCCCTAGCAGATCCTACAAATGCGAAGGCAAATGCGGCCCTCAATCGTCCTCGAAAACTGTCCAACAACTCAGTTACGACTGCATCGTCCTTTCAATCTCGAGAAAGTATGATCTCAGCAAGACGAACGCCTTCTTGGGGAAACAGAACGAGAATGGAAACGAACGAATCGGCATGGCGACCTGAGTATATGTATCAACGACCAATGCCTATCAAGAAACTGTCTTCTTCACGAGTTCCCCTTCAGCCGAATGAGCTCTTTGCCAGATTACCCTCAGAGATCCTCTCAAATATTCTGGAACAATTGAGAGATCTTCACTTGGAGGACAAAAGCGGGAGCTGTGCAACTTGTTGGATGCGAGATGCTTGTAACGTCGCAGTGTCTTGCCGCAAGTGGTACAGGCCCGCTCAAATAGCACTGTAAGTCAGCATCTCTTCCAACCACACAAGAGAAAAAACTAACTGGTCTCAGATATCAAAACATCCAACTTGTAGGCCCAGACTCAGCAACCCTCAAGAAGAAGTTCAAAATGACGCAGGGCGTTCGTGTCCTCATGCTCCGGCGCATACTCCGCTCTAATCCTCACATCGCCGGAATCGTTCGCGCACTTAAAGTTCCGGCCCCTGAAATTGTCGCCAAAGGCTCCGGAACTGCCGAATATGAGGATATTATTGCGACGCTCGTCATGGCGTGCCCCAATCTCGAGAGCCTCACTGGTCTATCGGTTACGTACGACCACTCCTTCAAGAAGATCTTCCATGCGTTGTCAACAAGACCCATGTTAAGAGAAATGAACTGGCTTGTACAAGCATCGCCGCATCAGAGACAACAGAGAATCCAATCGAATACTCAGCAGCTTGGTTTGGTAATGCCTGGAGAACTCAAGCCTTCCCAGGAAGCTGCCTTTTTGACATATCATGATAATTGGTCTCGCCTGGAAACCTTGACTGTACATTGTCTCCCAGGAGCTACTGTCACGCCCGAGACCCTTCTCACATCAACACTCAAGCGTCTTCCGAACCTCAAACATCTTCATCTCTGTAACCTACCGCCCAACAGCTTCGACGACTCAACTCTCCTCGCCCTACCGCCTCTACACTCCTTGACGTTATCTCACATCAGCGGTATAACCTCGAGCGGGCTATCATCATTCGCAACGCAGTCCTCCAGCCTTCATCTGCGTAAGCTTACTCTCCGACACACGCCTCTCACATCTCTCGCTGCTCTAGCGCGCATCTTATCTAATTTAAGAAACTTGGTCAACTTTTCTCTGATTCAGACTTTCCCACCCGTCATGCCGGAAAATGATAGCTTCGCACTCTGGATGATGCCATATCTTGCAAACAACAGTGTTCAAAAGCTCCACTGGGATATCACCAGCCATGCTACATGCGTCAATGCAGCGGATGATATTCTCGCTCGTAGTATCGCTGCAGGGGGATTTCCAGCTTTGAAGATTCTTCGAGCTCTTAACGACCCAGACGGCATCTTTCAGGATCTTTGCTACCCCGTCGAGAGAATTGATCTTCCTTCTGATCGATTCCGAACCGCCGAACAACCAGAGAGCTCATCACCTTTCGCATTTCCTCCGAGCTCGGCAAGCCCAATGTCTCCCACGCGGTTGTTCAAGTCCAACAACTCACCTCTCGCTTCTCCACGGACTCCGATATCTCCATTCGGCGACACACGCCGCCCTTACACAAGCCTTCATACCGCACG